AAAAATGAAGAATAATTCCAGACAAAAACCGAATATCATGGGAAAAAGACAGTCATCCCCCTGAATTCAGATCAATTTCATTTTGGTCTTTCAGGAACTGTAGATAATCTGATCAGTCCAAGAGTAACACTATCAAAACAATAATTTTGCATCTTGTAACTATTTCATCTCTTTAACATGGAATTTCAAAGCATGATCACTCTGATGAACAGTAGAGTACATGAATATGCAATCTCCAACAAAGTTATATCAGGTTTTTCACCCATGTCCATTGTATATTATATCCTGCAACTTGAATTAAAATATTCACAGCTCACTGGAGAGAAATGAAAAATTGATTAACTTGGGTATTTGGGGAAAATACATAATTAGAAAAATGGGAATTATGCAGTCTGGCCTGAGAATGCGTTGCTGAGAGGTGAAGGTAAGGAGGAGGTGCCCAAAGCATAACTCCCATGACACACTGTGGTGGCACTTCTAACTGCAGTGTTTGCTTTCAGGAGGATTCTAGTAATAGCAAAAAAACAACCAACCAACCAACCAAGCAACCAAAAAAAAAAACAAAAAACAAAACAAAACAGAAGGAAAATGCAGATTAGGAGTAGGAGGGAAGATTCTTCCCTTGTGGCTGTTTTTATCCAAAATTGCTTTCCCTAAACAGTTTCCCAAGAGTTTTATGTATAGATAAAAAGGTTCACATTTTTAGTGGTTTTAACTGTAGCTGCATACATGTTGTGTTTGCCTTATAATATGGAAATATAGAATCTATTTTTCATGAGAAGGGTTAGAGAATCTCAAAGTCCTGAAAGGGCTGTGCTTCAATGGAGAAAAAACAAACAAACAAACAAAAAATCCCAAAACCAAACCAAAAACCAAAACAGAGTTCAAAAGAAGAAAGGATACTTCAGATCAGTCTGGTGAGATGTTACTTTAAAATTTTCTGTGCTTTGAAAATCGTAATCCCCTGGGGTAATGAGATGTTATTAATATTAATGCATAAAGAAATAAAGATCTGCCATGCATGTAGACCTCATATATATAGGCTACACAGAATGTCACTTTCACAGTTTCAAACTCTGGAACTTTAAAACATAAATAAATAGCTCATTAGATGTCTAAGAAGTTTCTGCTGATTTGCAGCTGCTTACGAAGTATGGCATAGATTTGCTGCATATAAAGAAATATTTCTAAATCAGATAATAATGTGTTTGGGTTTTTACTGCAGCAGTAAAAACCTTGACTCCTCAAGGTTTCCTTAAAGTGCACAACCTCACAAATCTGAAAAATAGTCACAGAACAGCTAAAGGAGATTGGGTTTGAAGCAGAGTGGTTGCTTAACGTTTTACTTGCTTAAGAATTATCCAGAATGATAAACATCATCTCCTTTTTTGATTTTGATTTTTTTTTCTGTTATTCTCTGCAGCACAGGTGATCTCCAAGACCTTCAGCAGTTGAATGCACCATCAATTTTTAAGCGTCATTGTCATGGCCAAACAGAATAAAAATCCCTAAACATATTTTAAGCTTAGAGAAAGAGATGCTGAAAACTCACAATGTCTTGGAAATACAATCTGCAGCATTTGACTGTGCTTTATGCTTTAAATGTGTTTTAAATACCCTTCCCTGTCTGACCTGCTGCTTTGTTTAAGCTTTTTATCTCTTGACCTGACATGATAGAAATTGATTTGAGACACCAGTTTTCTGCCCAGTTTGTTAATTTAAACTGCTGATAGCCAAACTACTGTAGGTGCAAAGCAGCTTCATCACAACCAAATTTGAATTTGAGATTGTGAGTGAGCATCCTGAGCCAGTTTGCTGTGTGAAATTTTGTCTCCCTGACCACCTCTAGTTTCCATACTTCCCTTCCTCTTCCAGTTTCCATACTTCTATAACTACTGCAATGTTTGCCAAAAAAATACAAAAATACACAAAAAATCTATTTAATGACAGGACTGAACACCTTGATGACCTTTCATTCATGATTAATGTGGTTATTTCTGTTTCCAAGGCATAAGACTGCTAAATGGGACATGACTGTTCTTTATTATAGTCTCTAGTACCTTCTATTGCTGGATCATTAGCAGAATGGTTTTCTCCTTCTTGGTGATTATGGCTTTTGTGGTTGGTGTCATCCATATATTATGATGGTAGTTTTATGTTCCAGTGGCAAAGTAAATAGAGGTCTCTGTATCTGTTCTTTCTTGAATCTGCCATTTGCCTGATTGTTTCAGATGCCTCACAGTTGTGAATGGAGCTGATTTATAGTCCTGGACAGGCTGTTTAAATCACATGTTGAGGGCAAGTAAAGACAAACTGTTTCCCAAGCTGACAGACACTAATGAACAGTTATAAATGTTTTCTTTAGTTAAGGAATAGTTAAAAAGAGAGAGACAGATCCTCAAACAGCGGGGTGGAGTGGGGGGTGAGTTTCTTAAAAAGCTTCTCTGGATCCCAATGCAAAATGTGATAAGAAGATGTTTTGAGGAAGTTAAGGTGATTTAGGGAATTAATTGTTGAAATGGTTAAAATTCCTAATATGCAATTCTTAATGGAGCAGTAGAAGCTGCAGATGCAGGAAAAAGGTAGAAGAAGTAAGGAAAGAAGCATCTGAGAAAGAGAAGAGTTCTATTGAGAAAAAAATGTAATTGTTGAAGCTCAGCTGTGCCTGATCAGGGGACTTGAAGATAGTATGTCAAGAACGTTCAAAGTGATAAGAAAACAGATTTTTAACACTAAAGTTTCTGCCTTTTCATTTTCCAGAAAAAAAAGGAGAAAACACAGCAATTATTACAAAGATTATGCCTATATCTTACTATACCTTCATCCTCTAGAAATCACTAATTATTAGTATCTCAGCATAAAGAAAAAAAGCAACAATTAAGTAATCACAGATTTTAATGGTAGCAAAATTACAATTACTCTCTTCCTGAGGAAAAAATAAAACTTCATTCCAATAAATTCCAGTTATATAAGAATATGGGCAATTACACTACTGAAGAAATCTGTGACAGAGAGTAGGCACTAGAAAATATCTATGAAATATGATTCTCATTCATAGAGCTTTCTGAACTGCAGAACACCCACTGGGCAAAATCAGCTGCAGATTGGTCTTTCTATATCATGGAAATAATAGAAAATGGGACTAGAGGGGAGTGTGAGTGGCTATCTAACCTCCGTGCTAAGGCAGATGAGTAATAGCTGAAAATTTCTGGCAGACTAGCACAGCCCATACAATGTGATAAATGTGTTTTGGGGTCTTAGTTTGTCTGTTTGGTTGTTTCTAATTTGTCTCTTAGTAGGACAGAAAAATGTGTTCCCAACTGTATGCAAAACTCTGTTCTTAAAACAGCCAACACCAGCGGAACACACTCAACTTCATTTCCTTTTGCATTTATTTAATCGTAAACCAAAACAAAATTCAAATTCAAATTTTGACGAAGTTGATTCAGGGAAAAGGGAATCCAATTGATTGAACTTTTCTCACCAAGTGTTCCAGGATTTTGGAAAAAAAACCTGCGTTTTTTCTGTTTCTGCGGCACCTTTTCAGTCTCATGGACGGGAGCAGAGGGTATGGGAGGAAAGCAGCGGTCGTCATTGCCCTTTGCGTTTTAAAGGAAACTTTCTGCAGTGAAGAGAACATCCACGCCAACAAACTCTGCCATTCACGGAATGCGTTCCTGCTATGTGTGGCATGTGTATCCGTCCTCAAATGTATTCGCGCAGATCAAAATATTCCGCATTGTAGTATCTGCGTTCAACAGATGGAGCATTTGTCCGTTATCTGAGTAAAAGACAGTAAAAAAAGGCAGTAAAAGCAGTGGCTTGATGGAGGCTGATGCGAGCGAGTCTTCAGCGTTACGTTTATACACTCAGACGTCAAAGATTACCCTGCGCGACCCTCCACTTCGGATCACTGCTGTTTTTTTTGCGCCTCATGATATGAGATGTAGAAGGCAGCAGAGCCGTGTGTGCGGAGGGCGTGCGATGGGGAAACAGGGGACCCCGCTCCCCCTGCCGCAGCAGTGCGCGCCCACTCCGCGCCCCTGCGAGCTGCCTCCCGCCCCCCGTGCCCTGCGTGTTTTCCGTGGTCTTGAGCTCTGGGTGCTGTTCACGAACTCTGCTCTTTGCTGGTCATTTAAGGAAAGGTATTTATTGTAAAAATCAGCCGAGAAAGTGCATGTCAGGAGAAATGTTGCTCAGGAGCGCTTGCTCTCTTGAAACCCTAGCTGCTGGCTTCTGGCAAGCTTTCTTACCAAGTAATAGGAAGTCTCGCCCTGCCGGGTATCAGAATTCTCTTCTGCATCTATGAAAAATCTCTGCCAAGTGTCTTTCCCGTTATCTTTCTCCATCGCTCTTTCACATACAGACTTCTCTATGTAGTCTTTCTCTATCGGGCTGCTCGTGCCCGATGTAATCCCTCTGCCCATGCCTAGAGTTATATCATGCCCCGTGGCCCACACTCCCCTGCCCAACCCCTGTTTAACACCCATGCCCAAGCCCGCTGTGTCATTCTCTCCCCGTTTCTGCCCTCGCTGCAAGGAAAGCTAAGACAGATCACAGACAAAGCACATCAGACGGCGGCAGCACGAGGACCGCGGACACAGCGCGCGTCAGGGGTCCCACCAGTCGGCGGTAACATTTTTTTTAATAACACTAATACTCATGATATCTTATTTCGGGGCTTTTCCAGATCAGAGGATAACTCCCTTTCGGGAAAAGCCGGTTCCAGCGGCCTCCCGCGGCTGGAAATGGGGGGGCTCCGCATGCGTCAGGCGGTGAGTGGCGTCGGCGCTAGCGGGAGCGGAGAGGCGGGGAAGGGGCAGCGGGAGAGATGGGGGCGGGGGGGCACGAGGGGTGTGGAGGAGGGAGGGAGCTTCATCAGGAGGAGATGCCGGCATCGTCGTGACATCACCTCGCGGCTTATATAGTTGGGGAAGGGTCTGGGTGCCCCGTCTGGTGCCTGCAGCCGCCCGCCAGCGCGTGTGCAAGAGGACGCGGAGCGAAGCGGCGCTGCTCTGTCTGTCGGTCGGTCGTTCAGTCTGTCGGTCTGTCTGTCTTGTCTTTCTCTCTCTCTTCGTCTCTCCCCAGGATTTATGGACTTTACTTTCTAGAGGGCGGCGCCGCAAGGATGAGAACCCAGCTGTTATGTGTCATGCTGCTGGCCTTGGCCTCCTGCAGCTTCTGCTCAGGTAAGAGTCCCGCATCGCCCTCCGAAGACCCCCCGGCCGATGCGCACTGAGCCGCTCCGCAGTCTCCACAGGGACTTGGGAAAGGCAGGTGAAATCGGTTCGGGCTGCAGCGGTTGTGCCCTCTAGGCGCCACGGAGCTGGCCCTGGTAACCGGCTCTGGTCAGCATCGCTTTTTTATATACCTGTCATACTTTCTCCCTTCAGCTACACCGTTCCTCCTCACAGCATCTGTACCATGGGTAGACTAGACATGGGAAATATAAGTCAGTTTAGACCATCTGCTCGCTTATGTCGGTTCATTTGCGATTTATTGAATACCATGCATTTCCAAACTGCCCTAGAAATTATAATTTCAGCAACTCATATGAATAGCTGCCATAATCCAATCCAACTATATACGCACTTTAGTCAACTTCCAGAGACAGAAATACAATTTTCGTATCCTGGGGAAAAAAATGCTAGCAACTGATCTGAAATTATGACAAAAAATGATGAATCAGATGCAGATTACACAATAGGAAGGTTAATGTAAATGCATTTCTAATCTCAGAGCAATTGCTTTAGAAACCTTAAAAAAAAAAATAAAATAAGAGAACCATACATTAAAACACATTGCCTGCTCCTTTGGAAAATGACACAGCTAAGAGTGTGTCATTTATGCCCTGACTTTACAACTAAAAGTAGGTATGGTGGGATTAAACAGGTGCACACACACAGACATGAAGCAGAATGGGCTTCAAAATCCCATTTTAACTAACTTGCAAATTACTTTATTTTCTAACTCCATGAAATTTAAGGAGTAAATTTACAATACCTTAGGTTTTTCAGCCTCAGTGGTCAGGAGGACTCTAAATTCCTAATTTGCACATTAGATGAAAGTTTGAAATTTGTATTCCCCTGCAAAAAAAAAAGTGTAACACACATAATACCTACATTTTATCACAGTTTAAACAGTCATTCTGTATATTGTAGAGAGCTGGTGATTTTACTGACAAGACTTAATATTATTTTCTGCCCATGTTTAAAGCTTTTTAAGCAGGTAAAAAAAAAAAAAAAAAAAAGAACAAAAAAAACAACCAACCAACCAAAAACCAAAACAGGTGAAATTACAATAGGCTTATAAAAACACCCAGAAACAAAATTGTAGGTGTAACTGCCATAGTGGTTTATTTGTTTGAAAATGAAATTTTATATTCAAATAAGAAATGCCATAGAGAAGCTTGTGTGGAAGGGCCAAATCAATTTTGACAAATATGGAAAGTTATGTCATAAAGAAAATGATAATACATTTTAATTTTCTTTTGAAAATGTTTGCCTTTAGGGGAAAGTGTGTAACTGTAAAATGTAACTATTCCTGTAGAACATATTAATAGAAGCTCTATATCTTATCAATAACAAGTTACTCAAGGGGACATCAAACCGTGTCTTTCCCTCTAATATGAACAATAATAACCAGACTTTTTTACATTTCTCTCTAAGAGTCTTGAGAGTCTGCTCTTTTTATGCCTTTACTCCTTATCTGCCTCTTTCACTCCTGAATTGCCTGAATGTGTTCCCTTCTCCTCCAAGCTTTGCTTTATTCTTCACTCGAGGGATCTTGACCAGCCTCTTAAATAATGTCTTCCAGAGTTCTTTTCTCAACCGAAATGTTTTTAAATACTTATCTACCACATCTGCAGCTGTCTTCCTACCTTGATGGTGTATTGAAGGTACCTTCCATCCTCTATGGAACATGAAAAACCATGTGCTAAGCAGACCAGTACTTTCATTGTCCTCAGCTGGTATGACCCAGGACACCACGAATCATGATGCTGTCACAGTGTGACACCATTCACAGGAGCTGCTGCTACCACTAGTTGAAATTCAGCTGAGGTGACCTTGTGTTGCCAGCAGAACTTTTGCTGATGGTAAAGCAGTTAAGATATTAGGTAATGCTGACAACCAGTAGTGCTGAAATGACTGAAAGGCATGAATGTGGAGATTAGTTGCTAATGGCTTGCTGTAATACTGATCTACAAACCAGCCTTATTTAATGTTTTCAATAACAACTTCAGTGTAAAAAATAAAAGTGAATGAATGTGGTGTGCTGGTAATGCAACGGTGAACAGGAGCATCACTACAGAGGAAGGTCAGCATAATGCCAAGAAGTTTTTGATGATCTAAATAATGAGAAGCAGTGCAACAGTACAAAATGCAATAGCTTAGGGAGCAGTAGAAGTAACCTATTTCATTTTCCTTTTAACAGAAGCACAGTGATTGAAAATGTCTAATGAGATAAAAGACTTGACCTTTTTGTTTGTTTTTTTTTAATGAGATACTGTCTTTTTTCAACCATAAAAAAAAAAAGTAAAAAAATGTATGAGAGCTACTTCCTGTAGCTAATGGTAAGCATTAAGGTAGTTAAGTACTGATGCTTCTGACCCAAGCTGTATTATGCTTTGCTGTCTTCAGATCAGAGCAGATACAGAGGAAGGCCACTCTGATGAGCTAGGGAATACAGTGCTATTACAAAAGAGGAGAACAGGTGAGAGTTTAGTAGCCCTGTGCATAGCCATTCAGTGAAGTATTTATCGGTTTTCCAGGGAATGTTTTTTTTTTTCTAAAAGGCAGAATGATCTTGTATTTATCTGGTAATCGCTGCATAAGCCCACCCTAAAAATCTGAGCTGAGAAAGGGCTGTGATTGCTCTCCAAAAATACATGAGTTGGGTAAATATCACAATTAGAAAGACATCACTTATAGTGAAGGAAGTTACGTACAAACTATTAATAAATTTGTAATTAGAAATAAATTCAGCTTAAAATTAGAAGAAGGTGAATAATCACTGAAACTTTGGAAAAATTCCCCAAAGAAGAAACATCGTGGTGCTAAGATTAAGATTGATCATGTTTGGTTTTTAAAAGCAATATAATGGTTGGCTTTCAGTGCTATCAGAATGAAGGCACAGGCAGAATCTATCCAATGATTTTGTGGGCTTCAACAGGGGAAGTTCAGGTTAGGTATAAGAAGTTCTTTACTGTGAGAGTGGTAAGGCACTGGAACAGGTTGCCCAAAGAAGTGATAAATGCTCCATCCCTGGCAGTGTTCAAGGCCAGGTTGGACAAAGCCTTGGGTGACATAGTCTAGGGTGAGGCATCCCTGCCCCTGGTAGGGTAGGGTTGCAACTAGATGATCTTACGGTCCTTTCCAACCCTAACCATTCTATGATTCCATGACTTCTATGAATATGGAATTGATTATGATTTAGTTTGGTTTAAAGTATAAGAAAGTGTATCATTTGGCTTTGGACGGCTGATATTCCAGGAAAGCTAAAAGCCGCGTAGAACTCTGTTTTGTCTGAAGCCTTAACTGATTTGTTTGTGTATTATCTTTGCGCTGTGATTGTTTCTACATTTTCAAGGCCAAATCTTCCTTCTGCTTCTGTACAGCACAAGGTAGAAAAGTTTGTGGCTGTTTTTCTAAAGCAATTTATAACCTATTCATTAAATCACAGGTCTTGCAAGTCTGCTGAGCTATTAAAGGTCAATTAAACTAGTAAAGAAAATCTGAAGTTAGAACACTTTCTTTTGGTGTATGCATTGTCAAAAGCTTGTATCACAAACTGATGAAGCTCAATTCCCTCATATCAGTAAATATATTTTTAATTTAACCAACAATAATTGAGACTAAATCCTGTACTGTAATCACAACTGCCATTCACGTAAATACTTAGCTGCTACTTAAGTAAATATTATTTGGAAATAAATATACAAAATCTTCAAAGTAAATAGAGGTGACAAATAGCAATTATGAAACCCATACTGAGTTTTGAATGAAGAGTATTTCAGCAGTTTTGTTTACTGAAAGGGCTGCACTGAAGAGAGATTACTGAATTAATTCATTCACTTCAATAAGTTTGATCATGCTTTAAAAAGATAATATCTATTTTAGCATAGTGTCATTGCTACCTGAAGACTCCTCACAGTAGATCGCTCTGCTGTGTTTTTATCAAAAATGTTTGTTCATTTGTTTGGGTTTTATTCAGTTAGTTTTCAAAACTAAGTGATATATCTAAATTCTGTATGCTAATTCGAAATGTTCATAATTTATGATGAAAGAATAAACATATGTTTCTGGTTTATTCCCAGATTCAGAAGAGGAAATGAAAGCGTTAGAAGCAGATTTATTGACCAATATGTACACATCAAAGGTAATTGTTTTTCCTCTGACTGGTAGAGAGCAAATGAATATCATTACAAACACAGAAGTCTCTGCACAAAGTAATAACCTATGGTCTAGAGCAAAAAGTTCAGTGCTAGACATTACTTTGGTGCAAGATTTTTTCCAGTTCAAAGGAAATTTAAAGGTGTTGATGTGACGCACTAAAAGTGCTCCTCACTTGTAGCACTGGTTCTTTCATTAAACTGTCAAAACTGTGTTATGTGCAGAGATGTAAATCTGTTGGAGGAAATGTGTTTCCAATAACATTATGTGTGATGAAAGCTAACTTAACCTTGCATCAAATCTGTAAGTGCTATTTTTATGCAGAATTTTTCCTATATGCATATAAAACTAAGACAGTCATAATGCAAAACCTGTTAATACTTATGCTGATTTTGGTTTAAGAATTTAATCACAGTTTTAGCATAGGAACGGGGGGACCTGACTATGAAAATATTAATTCGATAAATGGCATTTCCTTGACAAGTCCCCAGACTGTGAACAATGTACATGTTATTTAATACAAATAGACAAAAATTCAGTTCCAGTCTCATATTGACAAGGTGAAGCAGCATGTGTTGCACATATCTATTGAACAGGCTGATAGACAAACACTTTCTTAACAGTGTTGTTTTCCACAAATGATCTAAGGTACATATAGTTTAATATTTATTCAGCAACACATTAAAGAACAAACACTGAAACAAGTGCCATGATCTTAAGTTTGAATGCTTTATTCCTTTGTTCTAAAGGAGTTCAAGTTAAATTCAAAGGAAAATAAAATGAGAAATGAAAATTTTTTCCCTAAAAATTTCGTAAGTCAATGACTAGTTGAATGTTAAGAACAAAACCTGCCTTGAAGACTTCCGTATTTACTGTATTTGCTTGTATGTGAGCTTTTTCACAGGATTCTTTGAATAGACTAGAATAAGACTCTAAGAGAATAATGAGGCCAGAAAACACATTGTTTTGATCTGATCTGGCAGTTCTTAGGTTCCCATGTTCCTTACTGGCACGGTTATTAACCTTAGGTGCTAAATAAACCTGTTTGCCATTTGCTCCTTTAAAATACAGAAAGATTAATAAATATTCTTTTCTTGAGACAAATATAAATTTAGAAGGCTGACAAAAGTAGTTCTTTCTCTGTGTGGCAAAGCATAGTATGCCTTGGAGAAAACCCTATGGCTATTGGTATTTCTGTTACTGACTTCAGTAAGAACTGTGAACCTAATCTCCACTTCCATCTTTTCCTCTCTCTCAGCACAGAGCACAATCTCAGGTAACTAAAAATGCATAGAGTGCACCAGCTGATAATGTAGTGGTGTTTGTGATAATACTCTTTTATGTCGTTTTACACTGTGTAGGTTGCTATTCAATTTTTTTGTGGTATATACCGTAAGTCATGTGACACCTGAAGTTGATATAAGCAGTAAGTGCATGGTGGAGATGTTGCTTTAATTCTACATTCTACTGCTTAAATCACCACCTAGAATTCATTAGTTTGCTATATATTGTCTCTTGACATCGGAGTAAGGCATGGTGGAACCACTAAAAAATGTACCTAAGTGCTTTCTACAAAAGGGATACCATTATTCCATTTTTTTTTTTTTTCTGTTTTCTGCTAGCTTTTAACCCTCATTAGAACAAAAGTATGGTTTTGGTGTGAGAGACAAATTTGATGGTACGTGTAATAACTGTCTTGTACTGTGCCTGAGATCTGGTTCCAGTTGAGGGCAATTACTGTTGAATTACATTAAACATCTTTGACACTGACTTAGTAATAAGCAGCAAGGAAGCTTCAGACAATTTAAATAACATTAAGATGGGGAAAGGGGGAAAGAGAGAAAAAAAAGGGAACAGAAATTGTTTATGAAAGCTTAGCTCAAAAAAGCTGCAAAGTGGATTATTACTTGTGGTTGTATTGGACAGAAAAAAATCCTACATAGGGACTTGTGAAGTATAATATCAAAACTACAGCTAGAGTTTAAGCACACACCTTTTGCAGCTTTCAGGAGTCCATCCAATATTATGGAAAAAGTTACCATATGCTTTTGACTTCACAGACGGCTGTTCAGTGCCTAATGGCCTTTTTCAAACTTCTCTTTAAAGTCGTATTCATACTGGATCACTTTCCAACTTTAAAGTAGTATGTCCAGGCTTATTACAACCTGTCTTCAACATTTGTCCCTGCCCATGGCAAGGGGGTTGGAACTAGATGTTCTTAAGGTCCTTTCCAACCCTAACTATTCTATGATTCTATGATTTAATACAGTTTATTACCCTTTCCTGTTGTTAAATCTCAAAGAAGATGCAGGGATAAAGCAGGGATAAAATGCTTTGTCTTTTCTCTAAGATAAAACCCAAAGATGCATTTGGAAGATCTGGCAAGACAACACAACCTGAAGTACCATGTATATGCAGTTATCTGCTCTTTCTATTTTGTATCAAATAAATAGCTCTATTCCCAGCTTCATAAATGCTTGCCTGAAACCATCCATGAGGAATGTCCCGAGCACAAACAAGGCTGATATAAGCTGGGGCGGGGGGTGGGGTGGAGAGAGAGAGAGAAAAGGGAAAAAAAAGAGGTGTTTTCTTTGAACAGTATATCATCACTAGAACAAAATTTTGGATCCTCTGAGCTTCTTACTGTTCTAGGATGCCTATTGCTGACTGTATGTGCACATAGAGTTTTGCCTTCTTGTCACAGGCAGATGAGGTTACAGCTGCATAGTAGTTACTGACTTCCTGACTCAGTCATCACATAAAAATTCATTGTTTTTGCAGATATTAGTATACACCATAGAAGAATTGTTGTAAGATAACTCAATACCATATCTGCTTAAGGACAGAGAATATTTTTATTATGGTTACCTGCTGAACAAAATTTAACTACTATTCCAAAAAGGAACCATTGAGATATTTCATTACCTTGGGTTTTACTTGGTTATGAGTAGGCTTTTCATCTGCTTTCACTAGATAAAGGAAAGAATATAAAAGGCAGAGAATGAAACTTTTTTTGGGGGAAAAAAACCCCCAAAACAAACATGAGTGGTATGCACTGTAACGTAAGAAGTTGTCTTAAGCAAACTTTCAGGGGCATCATTTAACGAGAAATGGAAAGAGATTCTCTAATCTTTCATAGGACAAGCCTGTTGTCAAAGCAGGAAATATTCTCAAGCTCATTTCAGTTTCTTAGATGATTTAAAATTATCTTTCAAGTTATATGAGATGTGGGAAACCGTGTATCTGAGTCTTATTTGAGAAGCATGTTCAACAATGGAACTGCATATATCATATTCACTTCAGCATTAATAACTTTTAAATTCTGATTCATACTGCAGTCTCTTTTGTTCCTTCAGATCATTCCCAAATCTTTTTCAAGATAATCTTAAAAAAAATTAGTTCTGTCTTGGCAGATATGTGTTCCTTGATCTGTTGTGTAGGTGTTTTCCAAAGCATGTCTTGAGCAACTGTAGTTGGTATTCCTTAGACCTGTATTAAGAATATATCACACATTGGAAATGTAACTGAACATTTGGATTACGGTCATCTTAAACTGCATTTTCACATATTCCTTTAGGATAAGGGCCTCAGAGATTTCCAATTATCTATAAAACAAAGCTGTCTGATTGTAATGCTTGCTGTAATAGTGGAGTGAAAAAGTATCATGGCTGCTTGTTCAGTGACTGGCCATGACCTGGAGAGCTCCATGTTTAGTTAAAAAAATATTTCACTCTTGACTGAAGTTCTTAATGCTTTATAGACTCATTCTGTGAGCTGGCAGCAGTGTAAGTCAGAAGCAGGTGTACTCAAATAAGAATATTTTGGGCTGATACATGTGTGGTATTAATGGGAATTAGACTCCCTTAACAAACAAATATACTTGCAGACAGAACTGCAAAAATTTTTCCCCTAATCTAATAAATAGCAGCTAAGACCGGTTTCTCCTAATGAAGCCTGCTGTTTAAATATTTCACTAATTTACAAAGTTCATTTAAACATAGACATGCACCAGGCTAACATAAAGTAGCAACTTCAGATCAAAAAGATGCTATAAATAATGCAAGAAGACATAACAAATTTCACTATCCTTTTGTCTTCTGTTCTCATCCACTGGAATTTTTTTTTATTTTTTTATTTTTTTTTAATCTCAGAACTCTCACTTGATCATGTAGCGCTGACCCTAGGTTTTATTCTTCACTGCAATGTAGCTGTTGTAGTGCTAACTCCCATATCTTTAGCATACCCAGGAGAGAAAAGTGCACTGGAAAAGTCTCCTCATTTGTTACAGAAAGCTCCATATTTTTATATTTCACAGGTATTTTAAAACAGACCAAAGAGAATTCTGACATTGCAGTGGATGCTTGTTCCTTTTGCAGGTTTAACTTCTGTGAATTAAACTAGATGTTCTGCAAAGAGATTAATTTTTATTTTGAATCTATCCCATCTTTTCAGATCATTCAGTAGACTAATTAGGGCATCTAGATGGGACAACAGATGAGGTCAAAGAGAAAAACACAGAACCAATTTCAAGCTTCTGAATCAGATCAGAGATTTGATTTCTTCTTAGCCTCAAAACAAAATAATGCTTTTTCTTTTTTTTTTTTTTCCGAGCCTTGTTAGAAATCTAAAAACAAAGTTTTATTAAAGGGCTAAATTATTCTGATTTTGAAAAGCATGGCTATATCAGCTATATATTGGAGTAATGGTTATGGCCAAAAGGGATTTTTTTTTGTAACTAATGCTGATAGTGATGCCAACTTTTCTTGTTTTCTTCTTCACTCCTCTTCATTTTCTTTCTATTCCCTCAAAAAATAGTAAAGTGTAGTCAGTATGCAATGTCTCTTTGTTAGGAAGGTGTTTTAAAGAAACAACCTAACATTCAGCTAAGTAAGCACTGCAGCCACACTTTTAATTAATGCCATTAGTATATAAAAGGCAATGTATTTGTTAATGTAATACCTATATTTAACTTTGTACAGCCAGGAAAAGAAGCAATTACATTTCATTTCATGGATTAAACATAATCCTAATGGTCACAGCATAGAAGCCTTTGCCAGTAATAAATACGAATTTGCTATTTGACATTTGGAGATCACTTTGTCATCAGTTCTAGTTTAAGAAAAGTGATTTCAATACTCACCACTAAAAGTAATATAATCTGAAAGAAATAATTAGTAGTGGAAGAACCAAGAAAGTAGCAAAGGCATAAAAAGCAGCCAAAGAGGTAGGAATTAGGTTTTTACTTACTTTTTTCTATTGATAATCAATAAGAAGACTGTTCCCACAACTGCTTGGAAAGAACAGTGAAAAGTAAAAATTATTTTCCCCTACATTTTTTAAAAGGGTTTAAAAGTTAAATGTCTTCCCAATAATGGAATATACTGGAGCAAGTAAATTTGAGACAAACCATGGTGAAGTTTCTCTATTTTTGTCTTTCTGTAACATTTCTGAGTTAGGTCTGCTTAGGTGGAACACCTAAATACATTTGGTCTGAGTTTTTCAGTTCAGTTACCAAATCAGGAATATATTGTTTACACAACTGTCTTTCATCTTTTCTCTATCTTCATCTAAGCCCATAGACCTTTGATTCACATCTCTCAGACTCATGATTCTCCAGTATCCAAAACTCCTGGGGCTTACAGATTCTATGACTTCAGACATAGCTTGATCAGACAGCTTGCCCTGAAGCAGGGACTCCATTCCTTTTATCAGGGAATTTTGAAATTACTGGTATTTTTTCTGAACTGGGGAGGAGCATCTACTTAACCACAGGCATCCACCTTGGATTCTAGTACTGTGAATTTATCCTGTGGGTTTGACTCATTCATTGTCCTTATTTACGCCTGTGAATTTATATTATATTAATTTCCATCTGTGTTTTTGTTTGCACCTGTGCAGAATGTCTATGAAATGCTGCCATTCTGGTTTGGTAGCAGTTTAGCTTTTCATCATGTATATCTACCTGAGGGGTAAGGCTGCAGGGAAGCAGACTTGGTGTATTTAATAAATGAGTTGCCCTAATTTCAGCACTCTCTAATTATTGTCTAAAATCTGAGCAGGCAAAAAATACTTCAGACTCACAAGCTTGTTCCTACCAAAATGTTTGATTGTTACACATTATTAACAAAAAACAAAACAAAACATTGCAACACATTAAACAGTAAGTATTTGTATTTCCAGATTAACAGAGCAAAACTTCCTTACTGGAAAATGACCTTGCTAAATGTCTGCAATCTTGTCAACAACATAAACAACCAAGTGGGGGATACAGTAGAGGTAGATGAAGAGGATCTCGTTTCAGGAAGACAGTTTCCTGCTGCTCTGGATGGCTTCAGCTTGGAAGCAATGCTGACAGTATATCAACTTCAAAAAGTTTGCCACAGCAGAACCTTTCAGCATTGGGAGGTAAAACAAACTGTCATAAATGCATGTTTCAGCTGGTGTTAAACTCTTATGCGCAGTTTGCAATGATTTTTTTTAAAACCCATACCCATGTGATACCCATCATATTGCTTGAGCTTTTCTTCCGTTTCTTATATTCTCTAATACCTCTAATATGCCTCTTATTGAAAGAGATGCGAATTAATGTAGTTTCTGATGAGTTGAGTGTCTCTTTTATATTGACTCATGGATAAATGAGAGCTATTCTCAACTATGCATCTTCCCCACTCTTTGTAGCCATTCCAAGGAACAAAACAAACACATGAAAGTGAGATGTACGCCAGAACACAAAAGTAGTATCTGTTTAACAGGCATGAAGTTACTGCAGATTTAATGAGGCAGAGTTTCTGAAAACACTTTTAAGGCCCTAAGGCAAACTGGATTCAGAATGCATGGACATGCCCACATACACATGTACTTTTACCAGGCAGTATAGGCTTATTATTGCTAGGAAACCAGCAAGGGAATTGTTGATTTTTGCTTCCTCATACCTAAAGGCAACCCTGGAATTCAACATTGTAATTGTGTAACTATTGTTGTTCTTAAATAGTGATTGCAGTCCATTTCTGATACCTCAGTGCAGTGATCATACAGAGGTGCACTGGGCACAAGCCACTTGTGTTATATATTACACTAAAAGCTGCTTTGCAGAGTGAAAAGAGTTATTCTTATGTCACTACACACTTTCCAGTAAAGCCAGTTTCTTCAGCTATTGCAGGTTCATGGACAGTCTGGCTGAATCTTGATCCTCTTTTATTTGCTGAATCACAGCTCTGTATTTGCAGGCTTATTCTTAGTCCTTCATACTAGCTCGGGTGGTCCCTATGAAAGACTGTGACACCTTTGAGAACCAGAGTTTTTTGAGGATTCTCTTCATCTCTTCATTTATTGCTGAAAAGGAGCTAGCACAGAACTAACTAACTAACACTGTATGCACTAACACATATGACATAATCACAGTTCCTTACTTTGCAGTTACATCACCTCTTCTGGTGGTTGGGAATAATCACTCCTAACAGTACTGCATGTGAAATTGAAAAAAAATATCAAAATATTTCTCTCTCAGCTTAAGCAGTGCAGAGGTTTATAAGACACACTAAATGAAGCGATAGAGCCAGAGGGAGAATGCTTGGAGAAGGCTTGGAGAAGGCTTGAAGAAGGCTTGAAATGAACAATTTATGTGATGAAGGAAGTTCTTGTGATCTTATTCATCCAGGACTGACTCCAAAGTCTGTTGCAACCATGAGAGTCTTTCAATTCATTTAAATAGAATTTAGGTGACCACTCATTCATCAAGTAATTGAGTGACAGAGTTTGATTGCTTAAGGAAATACTGGGGTAAGTACAAAAAACATTTCAGTCTAATGCCTTTCAGCCAGGACTGTACTTGACCATGGAAGAACATGGTGAGAGAATGGATGAAATCTTAACAGATAAAGCAATGCGGAATCTGAGCAAAATACTTCAAAAACTCCAAGTAAAACTCAAAATAACAGTTATATAAGAAATTCTGATAAAATATTTGCTTTCTTGTGCTTTATTTAATTTCTTATTTATTACATGTTTTGATTTTGTAGCTGTAGGAAGTTGCAGATAAAAATATTGCTCAAAAGCTGAAACCAGCTAGCAGTGGGTGTTTTAGGAGGTGTTTGGCCTAAATGAGTGATTATAGAGTGACAATCATTAGGAAGTTTTCAGTCAATTTGACTGAAATATAACAGGTTTTCTCTTGAGGCAAAAGCAATGATCTTGTTTCTTTTAATGGAATTTAATTACCACATCCATAGGATTCGGCTCATCTTTAGTGTGATCCTAGTTTTGTGTCTTAATTATTTTTTTTTAAAAAACCTGCAACTGCTGTAGTAAAGATTTTTCTTGGTGTCAGGTGTTAAAATAAAGTTTTATAAAATTTCTAGGAATTTATAATCTTCATCACCAAAAAAGCTGTTAACATTGCGTCTCTTCTTGCATCCTACAGTTACTTCAGCAAGATGCTTTTGATCTAGACACCTCAAGCCAAGACAAGGAAATAATGAAAAGAAAAAATCCCTATATTCTGAAACGGCAGCTACATGTGAACAAAGCTAGAAGACCATACATACTCAAAAGAAGTTCATATTACTGATGCAGCAGAAGAAAATAATGTATATTTAGTTTCTAGGTTACTGTGTGTTATGGTTATCTTATTTAAATCTAAAATCATACTTGTGTGAAAATATATTATGGAAAATCATCAGGTTGATAACATAACTGTCTTTTTTGCAATTGTTGTTTTGATTGTGATTTTTCCTACTTGAGATTAATTGGACCAATACATTTGCAAATAAATTAGTTTCTAAGCATGATGTATTGTACGAAACTGAGATTTCAGTGTATTTCCAACAATATTGTAGTCTTTTCCTATTTTATAAAGCACATCAACATAAACTAAGTAAAATTGATACTGTTCATAAACCCTACTGAGAATCTTACAATTTCCTAATGGAACACCTCATATATACACTTGAAAATTTTTATATAATATACTAGTCAGAACTAGCACAATATTTTATATATTGGCCAGTTGAATTTATTAGGGATTAGGTCGAAGGAAAGAAACAAATGCTATCATCTATTAAATGGAAGTTTCAAAATTCATGTTTTAAATAGCCTGCATGTAAATGAATTTTTATTTTTTGACTCTTAACTTGCCACTGAATATTCATAATTTAAGAAAACTATACATAAATGAGACTTTAAGAAAATATGCTAGTGAGAACAAACCCTGCTTTAGAGTCTTGTGTATCACTGACTAAATATGAAAAGAGTTTATTAAATCAGTAAAAGAATTTACAGTGTTTACCTAATGAATGAATGCTCAGGAAAAAAAAAATAAAGAAAAAAAATAAAAATGCTGATTTATGCTCCTGTGCTGTCACTGTTAAGATACTGAACTGGTTATATGGGAAACTTGAGAGAGATATTTAAAAGTGGAATTAAAATTAAAGCATCTTTAACTACTTACAATTAAAAGGCATTTCCTTTCCCTCCCTCTCTGTATTTGTAATAAAACCAGGCAGTGTCAGGGGTTAAAGGCAGTCATGGAAGCTGATTGAGAGGGAAGCTTCCAGCATGGAAAAATTTGTTTTCAAGCCATGAGGAATCAAATGCCACCTGAAGCACATTTTCCATCTCTGTGTCTGTGATGTGTACGTAAAACTCAGAATCCCAATGATCCAGGTTCCAGTGTTGAAGAAAACATCCTGAAAGAACTGGGGGTCACAACAACAGTGAAAATAGAGGGATAGTCTAAGACCCACAAAGCCTGGCTGCTCAAACCAGGAGGCAAAAACTGTCAGGCATTGCTTTTGAAAACCTACCTGTTTTCTGTTTGAGGTACTTTTTCAAAGCAATGGTGTTCCAACAGACTGTCAGAAAACAAAACAAAAAAGCAAAACAAAAACAAAACAACCACTCAGAGAATTTCCACATCCTCTCACAAGTCAGGTTTTCTGTCAATTATTATTAAACATATACAGGAATATGCATAGAAAAAACATACCTATACCAGTGGTTATACCAACTCTCTTACATGAGAGAGATGTTGGATTTTTTTCACAGTAAAATGTATTTTTACTATATGAGAGCTAATTATATTTTCTTTTCTCACTGCAAATGTTATTAATCAGTTTATTTCTTCAGTAGCCACTAAATGCATGTGCTCATAGGATATAACTGAGCATATACTAATAACTGTAATAGTCATTATGACTTGAGTACAGGAAAGCACTTAAACATATTTGGTCTCAATGTTTTAAATGTTTAATGTTCTTAAGGGTTTTGCTTAAATAAGGTTCTAGTAGATTCATACCCATTATTTTTTTATGAAACAGTCATAGTATTAGACCAGAGACACAGGATGCTCTCAAGTGACTAAGAAACATCTCTCTAACAAACCTACTAGCTCCCTAGTCTGGTTATGAACACTTTAAATTCTAAATTACCTGTTGGTCTGAAATAACAAAGCAGAACAGAGTTTATCCCAAAATTTACTGCTAGCAATATATAAGGAAGAAAGGAAAGAAATTTCAGATCATGATTTCAAAGAGAACATGGAAGAGTAAGACAAACATAAATGGATTGACATGATATTTTGCTCTTATGTTCAATTTAAGAGCATAAGAATAAAAAAAAAAATAGGGTAAGGTAATGTGGTTGATATGTGATAGAGAATCTTAAAATTAAAAAAAACCAAACACCACCCTTTCATGTTTTGGATGTGATTTAGATATTCAGGGTGATGGCAGAGGACCTCAAATGATGATGGGTAGCCGTTCCATCCTCATGTAATGCTCCACACTGAAACGAGGTTTATACTGTGACTGTGTACTTGTTCCTTGCAGTGCAGAGTTAGCCGACTAGCCAGACAGACTGGCTGAAAATGGCTTAAAATAACCCATTTGCTTTCAGCACAATGTGAATCCACACAGGGTCAGCTACTGTGTGTGACTGGAGGGGGTAGGTTGTTCATTTTTCTCTAGCTTCTGATGGAGGTGTTCAGGAAGCTGCCAGAGGATGTTATCAAGAGTGAAAGACTGTCCTAATTAGAGGAGGAAACAATGTCCATAACTGTAACATGGTCAGTAAAGATGGAAAAGCCAAACTTGGCATTTTAGCTGATTGGGGAAAAGCAAGCATAGAAGCATAAAGATGTTAGAAAACACAAACTATATGATTAAGCTATGTAAGCAGAGCTGTTAGAGGGATATTTTGAGGTCTGGGACATCCTTATTTTCTCGAAAGCCCTTCTCATTTCTAGCTGTGTTTACGTCCTGATGACCTCACTGCTGTGGAATTACAGCCTTTAGCCCTCCTTTTTAGATAACAGCAGGAAAAAACAACAACAACAAACCCAAACCCCCCCCAGGCCCCCCAACCCCAAACAAGTGAAAAACAGCAGGCTTATACATATTTGTCTCTATTTCACACATTCTTTCTGTGGGATCTTTCAAAATTAATGCTGTATTTATAGCAGGAATGGGTGCTGAACAAACTTCAAGCCAGCATAGGCTTTTACAATATGTAAAGATTCCTAAATTTAGGCAGTGCTTTTATTTTTTTTTTCATTTTCTTCTTTTCTGAAGCTCATAATCGCCTTAAATTTAAAATGCTGTTTTGAAGACCATTAACTCAGATTGCTACCTTGGCTTAGATAACTGCATCTTAATATGAACAATTTTGTTTTATAAAGGCAATTACTAAGACATTTGCTGTCTGTCTCTGCAGAGGAACACATTTTTCCTACCTATTCCATTGCTGATGTTCCTACGAAGTTCATAGGTGAATAATTATACCAATTATTCAAAAACTTTATACTTAATCATTTCTCATACTCCTAAAATATTGGATATTGTCATACAGAGCAATTGCAGAAACCTCTTAGCTATTTCTAATGTAGAATTAAATGTAACTGAGATTTAATTTGATTTTATATATTTTAGTAGCTATCATCTATAATATTACCAATTCCTTATACAAGTAAATCCTAGGGAAATGAATGATTTTATCATTTCTGATGCATATATTTGTTAGTTTTTCTTAAAAAAAAACAACCCATAAAATAATAATTACTGTTCTCAAGGTTAAGTGTGGTGGTAAGTCTTCATCTTTCCTGAGTCATGCTTGTGGTGTACTACAAAATTTGCTGTTTTGTCTTCTTGAGTACGAGTTGAAACTTTATTCTGTGTTTTAGATCAGAATTTAATGGTTTTGGTGTGAACAGAGTGAATGAAATGTGAATTTTGCAGATTGAAAGAGATTTAATTATGTGATGTATGACTGTGGCTATGCCTCATGCACTACTCCTAACATGCAATGGAGACATGACAATTTGGTCTTGATCTGTATTCCTCTTCTCCAAGATTAGTGATCAGTTTGCACAATGCAATATCAAATTGAACACACAAGCCATCACTATAATACTTGAGTGCAGGAGGGCAGAAAGAGAAGCAGGTTCTTCTGAAATTCCCCAAGGTTCTAGGCTGATCATTGACGTTCTCCACATCTGAATTACTGGGCTTACTGCAGGCAGTCATAAAACAAGAGTTGCAGAGAGCCTGCAAAATAAAATATACTGACTCCTGTGATGTCACTGTTGTCAGAACTTGTACCTTGCTGTCCAGGAAGCAAAGGAAGTAGGGGAAGGGGTTGGTCTTCACAGGGAACCTGGGGAATGAGATTTTCATTGCAACCAAATTCAAACATTCAGAAGTCATGAATAAGGCTGAGAAAACCTGCAAATAAATAAATAAGTAAACAGATAAATAAATCCCCCTAACATCTAAATAAAGTAATAAATAGACAAAACTATTTTTATTTTCTGGAATGCCAGGGAACATGTGAATCACATTTTTAAGTTTTATTGACAAAAGAAGCAAAACTATATTTGCTTTTATTCATTTCTACTGAAAAATTGACATTCTCATCCAATCTTTTGAATCTAGTAGGTGTCACATTAAAACACACACAAAAGCACAATGTGAATTATCTCATTTTAAAACTTGTCAGATCCATCATTCTTGGATAGGCCTGACAGACCTAATAATCAGAGAGTAGACTAGAAAGAACTTTGTGGCACCTCATTAATAGGCAGGCTTTGGCTGTCTGAAGGACTCCTATGAGGTGGCAATATGGGGAATGGCATCCTGGGAGCCACTCAAGAACTCCTTCAAAGGAGTGTCAGCTATTAAGAAACCTGAAGCCTTCAGGAGCTTTAAGTTGCCCAAGTAAGATTTGCTTTTCCTAAGTAGATGGCAGTGTTCAGCTGTTGGCTCAGGAGACTCCTCACGTCTCATGCAGAAGGAAAAATAGGACTATACCTAACTGAACTTGAATTAGCAAGGAATAGTATTTGTTTGAGCTCCCAGCAGGACAAGTAGCAGTCTGTTTTGTCTCAAAAGTTACAGTGCTGTTTCTTGAAGTTCCATTGTAGGAATCTTTTTCAGGATGAGTTTCGCTTATGTATATATAAGGGGCTTCTCAGATAGTCTATACATTGCTCTCTTAAATGACTGCCAGCAGCCTGAGGACCTCAGTCCAGATGTAGTGTCTAAACTGCTTAAAAAATGTCAGCAATAGGTGAATGAAAAAACTGCTGGGTTTGTACATCAGTGAATATGATCTTGAAGATAGACTGGAAATATTCTAAAAGACAAGCTTGGCATCATTACTGCAGCTTTTCTGATTCATTATTTAAAAATCCAAGCTGCAGAACAGATTTTTATAATCCCATATTTTTGAATTTAAGATTCTTCCCTCCCCACCCCGATCAATATTTAGCTCATCTAAAAGAAATGTATGCACCAAAAAAAAAAAAAAAAAAAGAAAGGAGAACAAATATGTGCGTTATTTTCTTAAAGAAAGTTGTCACAGAGCAATATGACTTGGGAATGACTTGGAAATAATTTTGTCTGGAATGAGTTGTGTGGTTTTTCCATTTTTTTTTTTTAACCATATTTTTTCTATGCATTCAAAAGCAACTGTTGCTAGAATCTAATATTGAAGCTTTTTGTTAAGATGCAAAAGATCAATTTAGTTGATTCAATGAATAATTCGTATGCTTAAAAAAATCCTCCTAAAAAAAAGTAAAGATTTCCTCTTTTATAGAAGGTATAAAGAAGGTCTTAGAAATAACTTACTTAGTAGTTCTTGCATGAGTGAAATTTCTTGGTTATTTTTGTGTACTGCAAAATCCTTACAGTAGTTGTGTAGCATATATACTGCAGTTGTGTTTTGGTATCTTATTTAATGATCTTTTAAAAAAAAGAGCTCTTTGGAACAGGCAACGTGCATTTTGTTCATTATAAAAAAAGAAATAATAATAAAAAAAGCCACACAGAGCAAAGTTATGTGTA